TCATTAGCGCTCGGTTATTAACAGTTTTTCATGAAGAAATCGACATCTAATTTATTTTCGAGGCTCATGTTTGTTAAGACATTATGTAATCGATGACTGAAACAATGTCAGAATGAAATGGGACCCGTAAGGAAGGAATCAGCTAGAACCGTTACTAACTAGAGCCCGGAGCGAGCCTAGTCTGTTAGCCAAAATAAACAGAATGTCACGGATATAAATAAAGCTTTCACTCTCTTCGTTCTTCTTTTCGTTGAGCTGTCGCACTTGACGTTGTGACAGAGGTCCGTTGATCAGTGTGCATCCCATCGGAAATACCGCTAAAATGGTTCCACCCATTGCTACGTCATTGACAAGAATAATTATAGGACAAGATTATGTTCGTCATCCGTTCAATAGTTTTCTCAATTGCGAGGTTAGCAGTAAGATGTTAGCATAAAATAATACGAATTGATAAGTAGAAATGAGTTTCGCTTACATTATCTTGAAAATCTTTGTCTTATAGAATTGTTTTTAAGAAGTTGCATTGATCGAACAGAAAAAAATTCCATTCTAGTGGAAACGTTCGTCTTGTTCATCACTTGTTGACCCAAATTATTTGGAAAAAATGCTATATCTAAAAAATTGACAATATGCTGTATCTTAGAATTTGACTTGATGGAATTTTTTTGGTGGCAGATTCAAATTTAATATCTCAACATACGTTAAAAACAATTGGTTTCTTTCCCTGTACTGAAAATTATTTAAAATGTGTAAACTAATGTTATTAATACGATCCGTATCAAGTCAATTTTAAATGACTTGATCACTTTGCGCAGATCACCCATAATCCACGATATTTTATTTATGTTTGCTATATTTGTTAAATAATAACATGTACTTATCTCATAATGGTTAAAAAAAAATTACAAAAATTATTATTATAAAAGAAAAAGCCTATCCACGTTAGGATATGCCATCCTATGTGTGTGATATTAAAAATTATTTTATAAATATGTTTTTTTTTATTAGCCAAAATATTAAACGGTCTGAAAGTTCAGCATGGGTCATCGGTGACTCATGCGACATGGAACGTGATAAATAATATTTTACAACTATAGTTGCTATTTAATATCATTCTTCCACTGGAAGTTAATAACTTTATAAATTCATGCCGATAAATATCGGAAATTCGTTACAATATTCCAAATATTTCATAATAAAACAATTTAGTTATATAAAAATGTCAATGTGCTGTGTGCTACATTTTCGAGAAAGTAAGTTTTGCATTTTTGCGATTAATCTCGCGCTTATTGTACGCGAGCTTACGAATTGCTTTATTTGAATTCGGCTTATGTCAGTTGCAGTGTTCATGAGATTCACCTAACAACAAGACAACTATAATACTCTGATACCAGAAAACGTTCTCTTCTCGTTTACTATTTTCCCGTTTTACCGGGATTTGCATGTAGCTACAACGGCACTATTCATGTCGGCCGCTACCGCGCACGTCCTACATCCTATATAGAAAAATCCTTTTCCGTATTGCACGTGCGCGTGGTTACGAATAGCCTGATCTCGGTTTCGGTTACACCATGTCATGTCTATTCATTTTTATATATAACGGATGTTATGCACTTGTACCCCAGTTCCGTTCGCTTTGCTGATATCATAAAACGAAATTTTGCTGCTTATCAGTAATTCAGTAAATCGACAATAATTCGGATAAATCAGATAACTCTCTCTCTCTCGCTCTCTCTCTCTCTCTCTCTCTCTCTCTCTCTCTCTCTCTCTCTCATAACTAAGATAACCAGATCTTATAATATAATATATCATATTACGATCTAATACCCATATGTCTTATTCTATAGGGTCATTTTATATTATATTGTATTTTTTACGACCATTTTTTTCTGATAAATATTTTTAAGATTTGTATAAACATTTTAAATTTCATTTAAAACGCGTGAACGTTAATTCCGTTGGCTATTCTTGTGATATGTTGCAATGAATTTTTTAATTCTGTCTTTATATTGTATTTTTAAGCGCTACATCATACTATATACTTTTTTATCATTACACTTTTTAATATGCTTTAATCTCTACATTCATTATATTTATTTTTTTTCCAATATATATTTAATGACAATAATATTAATTCTTTTTATATTTTGTAATTTACAGATTTTCAATGAAAATATGAATGTAGTAGGGATAGAAAGTTTTTTTTTTTTAAATTAAATATAATAAATTTATATTATATTATCTAATCGTAACAATGATAAAAATTATAAATTAGTAATATATATTTCCTACAGTCTCTCTCTCTCTCTCTCCTCAATTTTTCATTTTTATTATTTCGAATTTACAAATCTCTTTCCTCTACTTTTCTCTAAATGATATTGTTATAAATTTTAATTTTGTTAAAAAATATATAATTTTAATAAGAGAATTACATCTGGGAGAAGAAAGAAAGAGTCTATACTTACACATTGAATAAGATTGTTTTTTGCTACAATTTATTCTTTTTTATTCGGGTTATTATTTTATTTGTTGTTATTGCATTTTATTGTATTCAAATGCTTCATTTGCCATGTTATGTATTCTAATACTTTTCTTAGACCCAGTTTCACAACTCACGGTTCTTTTAACCGAGGTTTAATTATCTTTATCATTTAATTATCTTATTCATTATCTCTAATTCTAGAATTGGAAAGAGATGAGAAACAAGTTGAACCTCGGTTAAGCGTTAATCGTGAGTTGTGAAACTGAGCCATATACGTTATTATGAGGAAATATATTTAATTGTATTAAGGAATTTTAGAATTGTTCATAAAATGTAGGTATTCTTTTTAATTATACGACCAATAGGATTTCTTTCCTATGGTCACGTTTTCATCACTCAAGAATTATCTTTGCTAAATCGATTGAAAAAATAAAGCGAGTCGAACTGCGAAGCCGTCACGATTAAATAGTTGACCAATGGAGTAACTTCTGTTTAACGTAACTGCTAGTAAACAGAATCGAGCGTCGGTCCATGTAACGTGGTTACTTGATCCAGGATCTTGTTCGTGCAACTGCGCAAGCTCGACCGTAACAAACAAAGTGTCAGAATCAGGTTTCGGTTAACGCTAAACGCAAGGTGTAAAGCCGCTTGAATCTTGGCGTGATTACAATTTGGCATGTCATTTGCACACAGGCTGCGCTTGAAACTGTGTTGCGCTTCGATGTAAAAAACGACCGCGCGTGAACATCCTTCGTGGGGGGAGGAGTTCTTATGCGGCACAAAATAAAAAAAAAAAAGAGGAAGACAAACGGGATGAGTAAAAAGGGGGAAAAGGAACGTAAAGGGTAAAGCATGGAATGAGAGAGTAAACGATCACACGAGAGAGAAAGACAAGAAACGGAGAAAAAGGGAGAGGAAAGAGAGGAACCGAGCGGTCCAGCCCAGCGCAGCGCAGCACGTGACGGGTGTCGTTAATATTTCATTAGCATTCGTTTTGCGTCGTCCCACCGACGTGGCCGGTTTTATGTACGCTTTACGTTACACCCCCCGTCCAGCCGGTAGTCGAATTTTTATTGCTAACGCGGCGCAGTTATCCGTAAAAAAATCGCGCGTTTTGCCACGTTCGTTGGCTCTCCTGTTGGTTTTCGCAGTACTATCCACTGCGTTTTTCGACGTTCTCGAATTTTTACATGGCCCTTTTTCGATCGATAGAAGAAAACTCAAAGTAAAATCTACTACATGAATATCTAATATTCATGCATCACGAGGGATGATTATCTTTCTCCTATTCTTTCAATCAAATTTTTCACTTTTTGATAAGCTCGTGAATAAGTTTTGATAAGTTGTTGAAAACAGAGATTAAATTATGATTCGTTTAACATTTCATTTTAATTCATAGTACATATATATATTTTATATCTAAAGTGTATATAGCAAATAGAATTTATATTTTGAATTTATAAATTACGCGGACTTTACAGTATAGTGGCAGAGAAGAATTAGTGTCAATTAACCTTCAGATTATAGTTTTATTCTTGTATCTATCTGTAAAACATTATCTACGTATTTAGAATAATATCTGGAGTAATATCTGATATCTTTACATTGACTATGATTTATATATCACGGCATTTACGAACAATATTTTGTCCAAATAAATTTGTTAATGAAAAAAGTCGAGGATTTAAAAAATCAAGAAGATAAAGAGGAGAAGAATATGCCATATATAAAAATTCGCAAATCGATTCTTGGTAATTGTATGTTGTCGGCAAAATATGTTCGCCTCTGCTCATTCTCACAATTCTCTTGGCCTACCCTATCATCCTACCACTTGGTGCTTCATAGCTCGCTTATGTCTTCTTTGACTACACAATTTCGACAAGCCCCTCAATTCAGCCAATTAATTAGTATCTAATGAACGTGCTTTGAGCTGCATTCTCCGCCGAACGAAGAGAGTTAACTTTATCTTCGCGAGCGTTATTGTTGTCTTCTCTTTCGGTTATACCGTCATGCCACGTTGCTCGAAATTCCATCCTTAATCGTGCCAGAACTTCGAAGCGATCGAGCGATCAAACAAGACGCTCGAAAATTATATTTGATGTTAAAAATTTGACTCAAAATTTACCCCTTTCTAAAACTAGACTTCAATACATACGAAAAAAGTTCGGATTTTATTTTTAATGAAAAAGATCGGATTTGCAAAAAATATATTTGACGCGAGATGCTACCACGTCTTTTGATTTCCTACTAAAATTACATGCTTTTGTTGCTGTAGTGTATTATCACGTCTTTTGCCTTAAATCGATCGATAAAATAGGTTGTTATGTACTATCTCAATCTTCGTTGAGTGTATGCAATAAAAGTGCAAATTTTTTTCTCATGAAGTAACAATACTTTGGTTTCCTTAAAAATTAATTCAATGCCATTATCTACAATACGATCTGAGTGCGTCGCAATATTAAAAATTTAATTAGCAATCTTAGCGCGTCTCAAAAAAATAATTAAACTTTTCACTCACCATTCCGATTCTCGCTGTCGGCCGGCTTCATTTGGATCGGATGGCGCATCTGAAAATAAAAGAGACAACGATATAGTTTTGCACTCCCGTACCTTGAAAGCGTCTGGGCATACGTAATAAAAGTCACATTTATTATTGATAAGACTGCCGATATCGTCGGCGTTAGAGTGCGAGTTCGAGTGTAAAGTTCGTTTCGCGCTTTTTGAAAAATGCAACGATGGGAAGCCGTTTCCGCGGTTTGCGGTTTGCTCTCGTTGTAGTTACATAGAGACGAGTGTGAATGCAATTCGCCTGGTCTTATTCTAAGGATTCTTTCCTATTTTGTACACGAGACTGAAAATCGAACGCGATATAACGCCGGAAATCGCTGGATGTTTTATAAAACGTCATATCATCGACACAAACACGTATGTGTGTCAATGTAACACGCTGTTTTCGGCAAGATTGAGAAAGTTATTTTGCAAAAGTAACTAATTATCCTTATAAGTTATTCTGAAAAGTATTACGTTATAGTTACTATAGTTATTTAAAAAGTAACGAGTCATTACCTTTCAGTTTCTTTTCTATTAATTTTTTACATTACTATTTTAAATACAAGAATTTATACATTTTTAACATTCTAAATTATTTTAACACAAATAAGAGATAAGAAAGCCACTTTAGTCTAAGTTATTTTATTTATTGTACTAAATATTAAAATAAAGTAATTCCAAAATATAATTCTTTAATTAAAAAAAAAATATCTTTGATTCATCTTACATAAAATTATCATAAAATACATTCCATTAGTATTTTTTTTCATATTTTTCAATGCTGCATTAGAGATTAAATATTTATCTGTTTTTTAAACAAAACCAATGTTCAATAAATATTAATATAATATTGATATAATTTAATAGTTTAATTGTCAAAGAATTTGATATAAGAATTAAAAAAGTTAGAGAACATATTATGATTTTATATCAAAATCATTAAAATTCTAATATATTGTACTTTCCTGTAATGGCAGATATTACGATAGCAGTGTCCATTACAACGATATATTGAGGTTATCGAAACAGACGATTTTTTGGGGTAAACGATATTTATGAGTGAAATGCATGGAAATCGTGTTTTGAAAAGTAGATTCATCGTATGACCAGTCGCTTGTGTGAATATGGAAATCATTTCAGCATATTCGTTCGAACGTGTGCAATGAGATTTTCTGCGCAATGAATTGATGACTGGCTACGTGCTCGCGACAAATACACTAGATCTTCATAAACAGATAAGAATTGAGAAGCATCAGTGCGTAGTAGTGCGATACGTGTGATTATCTATGATATTATTCGTTATATTAAAATCGATTTATGTCAAATTTAATTGTGCGGATTTTGCTGCGGGATAAAATTCATTACAAGTGAATGTTTCGGCAATTATGCGATTGAAACAGAGTACATACGAGTAAACGATTTTCGAGTAAATGAATGTTATCGTGACAGAACACGTGTGTAGGCTCTCATATATTTTTCTGTGTACGTTTAAAATACTCATATTATTTTAATACTGTCAAAATTTTCGAATAAAAAGTGTGGTCAATTAAATCTTTTTCTTTTTAATTGCGATATGCGAATATAATAGCTGAGTACAATAATTAATAGACCTCAATTATATCATTTATGATGTTTTGTTCTGCAAATATTACTTTTATTGCATCCATAGAATAATTATTGACAATATTTAATTGCTATACGTATTGCTTTACTATAAATATACTACTTAAAAGATTAAAATTTTTTATGTAATTCAACATTCTTTATTATATAAATTTCTGAATATATGTATGTCGTTTAACAGCTGCAATTACCTGTCTTATGAAGACTCATAAAAAATTAGTGAGGTGATTATTCTTGGCAAATAAAAATGCAATAGCTGTATCATAAAGTTAAGCTCTTCCAGCCAAGATGATACATTATTGCGCCATAACAAAATAACTGCATGTAAAAGGAAAGAAAGAGAGAAAAGGATCACGAAAGGGAAACAGAAAAGGATATCTCATTTATAGATATATTGTGATAGAATCTCCGTTTCGAGGAAAATGGCAGCTAGTCTAACATTCCCATTTATTATGATGGTTATTACATGCCAGAAAAATAAGTCATTAATTTTTACGACGTTTGAATTATATCGATCGAGCAATTTATACTTTAACGAGAGCGATGAACAAAGAATTACGATCTCAGCCACTTTCGAAGTCCTTATTTTTAATTTAATTATTGGACTTGTTAAATTTAACGCCGTCACTAAGTTCTAACAACGATGAGAAAGCTCGATGGAAACATTCAAGAGATCCTCGATGTGCCGCCAGTCGTAATGAATGACTCACAGCATTGCGAGAAACGGAACAAGTAAGAGCGTACTCGATCAACACGCCGTTGCTAATCTATTAAAGACGAGCAACCATATATCATAACCATATAATCATAACGTTTTAGAATGACGAAAGATACTATGAATAAAGATAATCGATAAAAAGATATGTTTATTAGAAATATTTGTGAAAAGTTAACATTTGACTGTTTAAACATAACATACATGCGAATTAGTAAATTAGCCTAAAAAAATTAATTATAATAAAATGTTATTTCTCTCTATTTCTTTACAAGCTTTATTTATAATCCTTTTACAATTCTTGATTCTTCATACTCTTTATTTCGTGAACTCTCAATGCACAAACATTTATTGTGAAAGCTTTCACTCTTCTCTGAATTTTTTATTTTAATTTTTATCTAATAATTCAATATATATAAAATGATATTAATATTCATTTGTATGTAGATATTTGTATCGCATTATAAATATTTTACTATATATTCTCGAATTCTCTAGATTTCGTTTCCATTGTACAGACTTTTAGAATGTTTGTAACAAGTTCAAGTCATAAAATTTTTCTCACTCTTTCTGATATTCGCATTTATAAATTCTTAATACTATAAATTTTCAATTTTATGAGCAATTGATTCGTTCTATCTAGTTCTATTTAATTCTACTAAACATTTATATATTCTTTTTCCCTAATTCACAATCTTTATAATAATAAAGATATATTCTACATATATATATCTTTATTATTATAAAGATTGTGAATTATATGAGCCTTTCCATAAATAATCACATTCATAGACAGTCTAATTCCGTAGATAGTCATTTTCATAATTCCTTACATTTGATATAATCCGTTGGGCAATTACGATCGTTTTTAGTAGTGCACGGGTTAAGACTTCCTACAGAGCACCATGTTCGCTGAGAACTCCTGCGCTCATTTGCTATTCATTCCCGAAACTGGGTTGCTCGCAATTGTGCCTCTAGTTCTATCTCGCAGCCGTCTGTGTCGGGAAGGATCACCCCAAGATTCGAATTCGATATCCGTATCGACTAGTGGGATCGATATGCCAAGCCAGGTATAATCGGCCCACCAGCCACGATTGCGATCGAAGATTATGCGCATCGACTAACGACCCATATACCACAACGATGCAATCTGGAGGCACCAGATTCGCTATATAGAGTAGTAAGCTAGTATACCGATACGAAATATAACAGAATACAGTACTGTGCAATACCTTCAATATTTTAAGTATATTTTCTTATTGAAAAAGCTTAAATTTTCAATTTTTGATAGTTGACGTCGGAATGACATTTGATTAAAAAATATACATTAACTTATGAAAGTTGAATATTTTTTCGATAAGTAGTTTTAATGATTTAAGGTAATCTTATTAATTTAATTTCTAAAGAACTATGACACTTTTTAACAATAACTTTTTCATAATTTTCATTGTTGGTTTGAACTGTGGTTTTTGGAATTGTGCATTTTTAAGATGTCCTTTGAATGTTTCACATTAATTAATTGATAATTTCTTAAAATATTTTAAACTCTATAATTAATATTTTCCAAATTTTATAACACTTTATATATACATACACAGAATTTTTTTCTCAAAAGTTCTTTCAAAATATTAATTATTAACGTATATTACAGATCTAATTTTTTATTTTTAGAAAATAACAGCCAGATAACGAATATATTTTGCTTGTGATTTCAAGACGTGTAATAATAACAATAATAATAATAATAATTTTTAATCCACAGTATAGCTAGCGATATAAATTAAATAATCCAACAGATCAAGACTATATTACACGCTCATAAATACAGCACTGAATCGCTCGACTATGTTGCTTGGAGAAATGCCTGCTAGTCGGCCTCTTAAATCAACGAGCGGAACGCTCGTAATACTGAAAACCAGTTGTGTAACTGTTATCTGCAAACCATCTTTGCGAATATTTTAGTCTGATGCTTGTAATGGTCCAAATTCACGAAGCTTATATTTAGAAATAATTAACATTAAAAAAATATAAAATAATAGTGTAGAGATTAATCTGAAGCTGACATAAATCTGAAAATTCGCGAGATGAATTATAAGAATTTAAAAAATAGTTTCTGATATCGTGAAAAATACAGTTTAAAAAGAATTCTGTCCAAGGATAAGACGAAGCATCCCATTCAGGGGTGCGCGCTATCTTGTTGCGAGTGAATTCAGAATATTCTATTTGCGAATCTCCTCGATACTCCGGACGCGAAAGAATTTCTCGTATCGCACTGTGAGAGCCAGCTTGAAATTCATATCTATGCTAAGCGCGTGGCACGTTTGGGTTTAGTATCTTCCGCATCGTACCTTTATATTGCGGCCGATTCGGTAATTTCGTGCATAGCAATCCTGCTTAAAGTCGACGGATGGTTTGATCCGTCGATAAATTTCACCTGCTTGATAGGATTTTTATAGAGACCCCGTGTGCGCGAGCGCGCGTAATTCGAGAAGCGTGAATTTCGGTGAGAAACACCGAGAATATTGGTGAGAAATTTGGGAAAGCGTGGAACGATACCGTAATATCCGGCAAAGAAATTAAATGAAATCCTACGGGTCTAAATGTTCCCCGAAACGTTGATATCCCTGGAATAATAAAATATCTGAACTAGGTGAAGCATAATCGGCTTTCAGTCTTCCG